CTCCTTGGCCGATTCCTCTGAGGAAGGATCTACTGACTCAGAGACGGGGCGCCGTTTAGCACCCACGTCCAGACCTTTGGAGACTCCATGTCTGGTCCCTGGACGGGACACGGAGGTTCTAGGTGACCTACCCCAGGAGGTAGTGAAGACCCCTGGAGATGCCCGATTGCGGTCGTGCTTTCCTTTCTGCAGCAAGGGCTGGAGCGAAAGTCCAGGTTGCTGCGTACCATGACCCGGTGAATGGGAAGTCCGTAGGTAAGCATGACCTCGTCATCAGGTTCCTTCCCGGCCCCCCTCTATACCCTCTTGGGACCTGTCTCTAGTGCTAAAATCCCTACAGCAGGGCCCATTCGAGCCTTTGCATTTAGTTGAGCTAAAGTTTCTTTCATTGAAAACTTTGCTCCTGCTTGCACTGGCCTCCATCAAGAGGGTAGGGGACCTGCACGCATTTTCAATCGACGATTCGTGCCTAGAGTTTGGGCCGGCTGACTCCCAGGTAATCCTGTGGCCCCGGCCCCCTACGTGCCCAAGGTTCTCACTACACCCTTCAAAGACCAAGTGGTGAACCTGCAAGCGCTGCCCCCGGAGGAGGGATAAGGGTTTGCTCTGTCCCGTCCGAGCATTAAGGTGCTACATAGACCGGGCACAAAGCTTCAGGACCTCAGACCAGCTCTTTGTCTGTTACGGAGGCCGGCAGAAGGGGAATGCCGTCTCTAAGCAGAGTATGGCCCACTGGATTGTGGATGCCATCACCCTGGCTTATCAGGCACAGGATGTGCCCTGCCCATTCAGGCTGCGAGCTCACTCAACTAGAAGTGTTACATCCTCCTGGGCGCTGGCTCGTGGCGCCTCGCTGACAGATATTTGTAGTGCTGCGGGCTGGGCTTCGCTAGATTCTATAGCCTCCGTGTGGAGCCGGTATCCTCCTGTGTTCTCACCTCAAACGGGTAGTGGCACCGAGAGGCCCCGGTTAGTGTCGGGTTTCCATGTGGCGGTCACGCTGTGCATCTCTTTTGACCATTATTCTTGATAACTTGCCCCAAAATTGGACTTGTTAATGTGTTCTTTTGTGTTAATGTTGAAAACTGTTCTGTGACAGGGGCTTAGGTTTAGGCTTGCTTCAGAGAGGCTGGGGGCCGATTTATGACATCCTGTTGTCAGGGGCCTCTGTGGAATTTTTGTGACTCCTCGTGCCTCAACTCGGTTCTGACCAAATCTTAGATTGTCTGATTCGGTCTGATATCCTACAGTAGATTGGTCTATCGAAGCGATATCCCAATTCGTCGGTCACCGACGTGACATCTCCGTTCCCTCCTTCAGGGAACGAGGGTTACCATATGTAACCGAGACGTTTTATATTAATTTCATAATTTCTTTAAAATATGGTTAAAATTTACTGCTTACTGTTAGAAAAACATCAAAAAGCGTACTTCACTAAAGCATGACAAAAGATTATTAAAGCATTATGATTGTACTTAAAAATTATTTTGACATTATTTCTAAGTGGACTCTATTTAAAAAGTGCATTTAAGTGTTAATAAACAGTCAAGAATGTGTACTTTCTTTAAGTACACTTAAGTGGCATTTTATTTAATTAATATATTATCTGCAAGTACAGTTTTTTATATCATTTTAAGACTTGAAGTACACTCCAGATGCACATTCAATACAACAAAAAATCAAGTTATGTGGGTTTTCAGTGACATGAGCGTTTGTAAATGATGACAGATGGTTCATTTCTGGGTGAACGGTTTCTTGAAGCGTCTCAGTCCTGGCAAAAACACACAAGCACCGATCTGAACATATGTCTGAGTGAATGGCAGTTTTACCAGAAGCAACAACAACCAAAGTGATGATTGACACTGCAGCAGTCACAGTGTTGAAATGTGTGTTGGCTGCTATGTTGCACTACACTTCAGGTCTGCACTCGACCAAAAAAGTTTCAATACACTTTGTCTTTCATTTTCAGAGAGATAAACATTTGTTTTTGAAACATACTGAAGAATGCAAGGTATCTGGTTTATACATACTGTGCAGTTGCCAGAAATATCATAAGTATCCTAGTTTGTAAGTGCACTTCTCTCATAACAGCATTTTATCAAACGCACTTGTCTGGTTGACATTTACTGTGATTACTGGCATTGTGAAACAACAGAATAGCCTGCCCTCCATCTTCCCCGAGCAATGCATTTAAACAGGACAGCTGGTTGGTTCATTTCCTGCCTCACTATTTTGGTATGTTTATCTCCATGAGGGCTTAGTTCTCAATTTACAATGCGAGAAAAAAGTTTCTTGTAACTTGGAGAAGTGAATCGGTGGGTAATGATGTCATACTATGATGCATAATTCTCCCTGATCCTCTGGTTTCCTTGTTCCTGCGCACAAACACACACCTTGACTGCAGTTAACTCCACTTTGCATTTGTTTTTCAGATCAGGGACTGGCCGTGCAACAGCTCAGAGTGACTCAAGCCCTGCATGCAATTAGGCAATAACTCAGAAACCAAAAACAGACTACCCAAAATTCAAGCTCTTTCCTTCTCAATCTCCTGTTAGTTTAGAGATGTGGTTCTTGCATTTTTCAGGCTGTCAGTGTGTCCCTCAAAATCTCCACTCTCAGGCTTTTGCATTTGAAGTCTTCATTTCTAATTTTGGTTTTGGTTTTAAAACAACATTAAGAATCTTCGAAATGTCTCCTTTTGTATTCCATGGAAAAAACTAAGAGGATTTGAGTTTCCAATGACATGAGGGTAAATAAACAATAACAGATTTAAAATTTTTCCTTCAAGTAAACACAGAGGGGCACAGTCAGCCAACACTTAGAATGAGGTCCTCTCACACTAAACGGAATCCATTCTTGTAATCAGAAGCCAGAAATGTGGGCTGTTTTGAGGTACGCTGAGGATTATGAAACCGAAGATGAACATATATGAACTGTTTACATATACATATGCTCTCTTATAGAAGCTCTGTTCTTCTTGTTGCCTCTTAAAAGACAGAAAGAGAGGGAATAATAAGGGAAAACATCTGCAGGTGTCTCTGAGTTGTGATTCGCTTGTCCTGACATGCACGTTGTTCTTGTTCAAGGAGGAGCTGTATCATTATACTGAGAGACAGCAGCAGGCCAGCAGTGTGCCAAACAGCTCTTAATCACATGTGTTGTGAAACCAGTGTTAAATAACTGTCTCTGACACCTAGTCTCTCCTGTCTAACGGGTTTCTTGATCACACTTGAAGATGATGGAGGAATAGAATATCACATTACATGTGGAAAACTTGATTATTACATTTTCTGAAGAAGTATTAATGGTGCTTATTGGTAGTTGTTGCCAAAATAAAAATATTTAAGTGTTATATATGACCCAAGTCAAAGTCTCTGATATTCTGGTATTGCTATTTCATGCATGTCTGAGCAATTTTTAATATCCGTTTTATCAACCACTATAGCATATCGACTGTTTATTTGTACTTATAAAGCACATATTAATGCTTTATTCTGCATGACCATATTTTAGACCTCTTAATCCTACCCCATACATAAACTTAACAACTACCTTACTAACTAGTAATTTTATTTAGGGAAAACTCTTAGGTGAAAATTGTAAGCTGGTTTAGAAATTAAATGCACTTCCTCATAAAACCACAGGCTTTCATCATTCGTCATCATTCGTGTTTATAGCACAAATGGCAATGTTTACACGCCTTACTGAGGATAAGAGGTTTGTTTAAATCTATAATTACACACCATTATCTTAGCAAGCTGCTTTTCTTCATAGGGATAAATGTTAAAATATTACAGTTCTTCTTATTGTAATAATTTTCCAAATTCCATTAATTTATACAACGTATGTACAATATATTAATTCATTTACTCCTATTTTTGCTGATTATAGCATGTATTTTTAATGAAAAATGTATTAAAGGGGTCATATGATGTTGCTAAAAAGAACATTATTTTGTGTATTTGGTGTAATGAAATGTGTTTATGTGGTTTAAGGTTAAAAAAACACATTATTTTCCACATACTGTACGTTATTGTTTCTCCTCTGTGCCCCGCATTCTGAAATGCATCGATTTTTACAAAGCTCATCGGTCTGAAAAAGCGAGGTGTGCTCTGATTGACCAGCTATCCAGTGCGTTGTGATTGGCCAAATTCCTCAAGCGTGTGACAGAAATGTTACGTCCCTTACCATATTGTGATGCCTGCGGCAACCACATGTGACGACCCCGGGCTGGACTCCGCTTCGTCCACGGTGAAAGCCGATCCGGCGATCGACAGCGCGAAGTTGAAGTATTTCCTCAGCGACCAGCACAGATCAGCTCCAGGCATGACGAAACAGATATCGTCCTCTTTTGGAAGGCCAAACAAAATAGTTTCGCTTTCACAACGAAGCACACAGCGCCTTCACGACATGGCGGCGACGGCAACAATACTACAGCGAGAATAAAAGTTACGCCTTCTTTCTTTGCGTGAACATTTGGGCGGTGTTATGCAAATCTTCCCACATAGTGATGTAGACATGTGGGGGCGTGTTAGAACGAGCCGTTTTAGGTAGGTGTGGCTGACTCTTAACTTTTATAAAGAATATCTCTTTGGATCTGAGACTTTAGTCTTTGCAACTTTACAGATCTTCTTTATTCACCAAGAGCTTGTAACACTCCAAAGAGAAAGGAAAAATTGAAATCGCATCATATGACCCCTTTAAACCAGAGCTGTATGCAAATACTAGTAGTTTCTCAGATCTTTGGACCCCACTGAATGTTTGCCTTGATAAATATGTTTAAATTCTGTGTCAGAAACAAGCCTACTTAAAACCATCGATATTGATTATTGTGATGAATGTGCCAGAACTTTACACATCGTCTCAATGAAAAAAATGAGCCAATTTTATCAGCCAAATGTCTTGAGCTCTTTTGCGCATGCGTCCTGCGTCAGTCAGCTGGCGGTGACGCGCAGAGGAATCCGAGCTGAGGCGCTCATTGAACTCTGGAGGAACGCGCCTCCACTGGAATAAAGCGCTGCTGCTGTTTGCGCATGTGCGCTCTTCAAAGTTGCGTGAGCGGCTGTACTCGGTTTGCTCAGCTCGTCGCCGCTGTCTTCACTCGAGTAGAGCGCTGCTGTTCAGTGCTGCTGGCTGCGAGCGACATGGAGTGAGCGAGCAAACGCGCTTCTCGGACTTTCGGCATTAGTCGCGCTTCTTGAGTAAATTACGCGCTAAAAAAAGTGAAACCATACTTAAGAAAACACGATGTAGTGAAGAAAATACCGACGCTGGACTGTTTTATGCCATACCTGCAAAGCACAGCTATCTAGTATCGCGCTGGGGGAGAAGTAGACAGCGGTGGGACAAAACATGCTCTCGCCGTTCTTGGCGTATTTGCTGTCGGGTGTGCTTCTGTGTCGGATTGCGCGCTGCCAGTACTCAAGCGACCAGTGCAGCTGGAGGGGCAGGTGAGACATGCTTCAAACATTTAGATTATTCAAGTGAGTCCTTAGTACTCGTTTGTCAGTGTATAATAAAACGTAATTTAGTATAATATATTTAGAGATTTAAGTCTTTAAAGTCTAAGATTAAAATCTGTAGATTAATTAATATTGGTGTGAAACCATACTTAAGAAAACACGATGTAGTGAAGAAAATACCGACGCTGGACTGTTTTATTCCATACCTGCAAAGCACAGCTATCTAGTATCGCGCTGGGGGAGAAGTAGACAGCGGTGGGACAAAACATGCTCTCGCCGTTCTTGGCGTATTTGCTGTCGGGTGTGCTTCTGTGTCGGATTGCGCGCTGCCAGTACTCAAGCGACCAGTGCAGCTGGAGGGGCAGGGGAGACACGCTTCAAACATTTAGATTATTCAAGTGAGTCCTTAGTACTCGTTTGTCAGTGTATAATAAAACGTAATTTAGTATATTATATTTAGAGATTTAAGTCTTTAAAGTCTAAGATTAAAATCTGTAGATTAATTAATATTGGTGACTGCAAAGCACAGCTATCTAGTATCGCGCTGGGGGAGAAGTAGACAGCGGTGGGACAAAACATGCTCTCGCCGTTCTTGGCGTATTTGCTGTCGGGTGTGCTTCTGTGTCGGATTGCGCGCTGCCAGTACTCAAGCGACCAGTGCAGCTGGAGGGGCAGGTGAGACACGCTTCAAACATTTAGATTATTCAAGTGAGTCCTTAGTACTCGTTTGTCAGTGTATAATAAAACGTAATTTAGTATATTATATTTAGAGATTTAAGTCTTTAAAGTCTAAGATTAAAATCTGTAGATTAATTAATATTGGTGAGTTAATGTTGTAAATTAACACAAACGTTTTTATACTAAAATAAGTATAATAATAACAAAAAATAATAATATTTAACCTCATTAGTACTTTTATTATTTTTAGGGTTAATATGAGCAGTGATAGTATTATTAGCATTAGTTTATGAGTTGTGTTGAGTATAGTGGTAGCCTATTGTAATGAGTGGTTGTAGCACCTGTCTCAATGAATTAACATTTTATTATTATATTCTCTCTTTTTTATTATTATTATTCTCTTGGTCTGAATAGTATGTATGTATTTATTTTCTTACTCAGATTTACTGTGTTGTAATTACTGCTTTGCTCTATAATATTGAACCTCACTGGCATAACCTGAAAGCAGAAACCATCTGTGCAGTGATTTCATTTCTGCTCTCTGCTTTGACCAAACCCATGTTAATCCCTCATGTGTAATATGCAAATTATTCTATTGGTTGTTTAAAGGCGTTTTAAGTTAATAAGCTATTGCACATAGGCTTCTGCGGTGTTTTTCTAGAAGCTTTTAGTTTTCAGTAATAATATGGTGTCAAGGTGGCTTTTTAAATCCTTCAAGCTCAATGTGCAGCTAGATGTGAAGAGTCTGGGTTAGTCATACATCTTTAACTGACGAGGAGATTAGTTCATGTTACAGATTTCCCTGCCACATAACTTCATCTCCTAACAACGTTTGTTGTTATTCCTCAACAATAGCGCCATTCCTTCAAAAAATAAAATAAAATACATAGGCCTATTTAGGGTTGCTGTGAAGTCTTTTTACAGTAATACAGTTTAATGTGCTGTACTCTGACTGCGCAGCCATAATCTGGTGTTGATTTGCTAGATCTGAGTTCAGCCTCTCATTATGGCAGAGCTAAATTTCAAATACTCGTAATTAAAGAGGAGTCCTTATAAATGAGGACACGGCAGCTTGCAAGTCTGCTCTGCACATGTGTCACCCCAGGCTCCGCAGGAGTTTTGGTCCTCACCTCTCATTTTGGTGAGAGTTTAATCTAGGGTCTTGCAGCAGGCCTAAATTCATCTCTGATTGAAGAACCGCTGGAGGCTTCAGAAGCAGATGGCTCATTTTCTGCCCAACTGACAAGGCGCAGAACCACAGATGATGCCTAAAAGTAGTGGAGAGAGTCTTTTGTGTGGCCGGTGGACAGCGGCAGGACTGCTGCCCGGACATGCATCTCCTCGTCTTTTTGAGGAGTTGAAAGCGAGGGGAGGTTCACTGCGTGACCTGCATTTGCACTTGCATGCTCCGGGTTCGGCTACTGTCTCTGCACTTGTCTGCAGAGAGGCCTGTGTGTCCAAGGAACCATTGACTTGCGTTTAAAAAATCCTACCCACGGCAGGATGCCAGTGCTGGATCTTGCCAAAACGTTGGAAAGGAGAGAAGAAAAATGAGAGACGGTTAATGTGTATGTGTGTGTGCATGCTTGCACGTGACTGGTCATGCAGCAAGTCTTGCGCGTGGGTCTTAACACCTTGTGTGAAAAGACATTAACTTCATTCTTCCTGCTCTGAGAAAAGCCTTTCTTTCATATGAGCTTTAGCTTTGGACTCGACTCTGGTGCAGACTGTTCAGAACAATCACCCTAATGTTTGAAGTTTCCTTTGCTGTGTTGCACGTAAAAGGCCGCTAAACTAAAGCTGACTGAAGATCCAACCATCATTATTTAGGGGATTACCCATCATTTGCTTCAAAACAGGTTGGCTTGCTTTGTTTAATCTAAGGCCTGTAAGTGGTTATTTGTAAAAGTTAACCAGTTATAACTGGATGTCAGAATTTGGTGAGTAATACATCACAGTGTTTGATGTTTGACGATTGCTCCATTCCAGAGCCTGTTGGATGGCCTACTATTTCCCTTCTAGTATTTTAAGGCATCATACAATTACTTCCAGACAGAAGCCAGCAAAATTATGCTGCCTTTTGAAATGATTTGTTTTGGCTGAATTCACGGATACGCCAATCTCAGAATGATTGCACTTAGTGACCAACTCTCCTTCAGGAGTCAAGGAGAAACATGGATTATAACTGTATGAAGTCTGTTGATAAAAAGAGACTAATCTGATTAAAATGAGAAGTTTTACCAGTTTTAGATTGATACAGTGGCCCATATTTTCAATCATTTTGAGATGATCTGCTCTAATGGTTGAACGATATATTGCCATGGCTTAAATATAATTTATAAGCCATGTTTGGCCGATAAGTGTCTTAATTGGGAATTTTATTGACAATGTTGAACTCAATGTCATATTTATTTCATATTCACTGTGTACTGTATTTTAAATTTGCATTCCCTGATTCTGATTAAACAGATTGCATGACTTTCATTTTTGAGTGTTTTTTTAAGGTATATTTTGGCCTTTTTATTTGTTTCAAATCTAAGACAGTTTGTGTGCAAAAATATTTTTGAATACATTGTGATACATAAGTGCATATATCAGCATATTTAACTCAATTAATTTAATGCAATTTTACTCATGTCATTTGTTATCATTAAATTGTGGTTAACACGCTTAACATTAAAGTCTCACTTGTTAACATTAATTAATGCATTTAGAATGCTAGTTAAAAAAATATAATTGTTCATGTTAGTTTACAGTGCTTTAATGTTCACAAGTAAAACATTTAATTTTAAAAATGCATTGGTAAACTATCTCTATTGTTAAAATTAACATTGACTAAGATTAATAAATGCTTTATTTGATGTATATTGTTCATTGTTAATGTTAACTAACGTAATAATAATGAATGAAATTAAACCTTATTGTAAAGTGTTTTGTCATGTATATTGGCCATCACTGACTGAAAAAAAATGCCTATGTGCTGCCTGTGTAGAGTGTTTTGGTTTATTTACTTATGAGGTTCAGTTTCAGTAGGATTCTGCTATATAAAGTAGGGTAGGTGTTCTGGAACAGAGCTTATTTCTCCTTTCTTGTAGTGGGCTGACCCATGAGGGACACACTCGGGATGTGGAACAGGTGTATCTCCGCTGTGCCCAGGGGTTCCTGGAGTGGCTTTACCCCACAGGGGCCATCATCATCAACCTGCGGCCAAACACACTGTCCCCAGCGGCATCTCTTCTCTCCGTCTGCATCAAACCCTCTAAGGAGTCCAGCGGGACCCACATCTACCTGGACCGGCTGGGCAAACTGCGACTGCTCCTCCGTGAGGAAGATCAGGCAGAGGGGAGAGTGCACTGTTTCAGCATCCAGGATGGGGCGCTCTTCATCGAGGCAGTGCCTCAAAGGGACATCAGCCGAAAAATCACAGCCTTGCAGTACGAGCTGGTCAACCACAGACCAGGAGCAGATCCACAGTCATTATCTGGTATGAGGTTCTCTTGATCTTTAAAGACTTGGTTGACAAGCAGAGTTTTCTTTCATGTGATGTATTTCCTGAAACATAAATGCATGTTTTTTTGTCAAATTTAAGGAGTAGAGTAGTATCTCAAAGCTGTCAGACTAAAAGGCCAATGGATTCTTAAGGGGACAATGGATTCTCTCTTTTTTTTCTCTCTCTCGTACGCTCTTCAAGGCTGTGTTTATTTGATCAAAAATACAGCAAAACAGTAATATTGTGAAATATTATTTAAATATTACAATTTAAAATAACATGTTTCTGTTGTAATATTTTTAAAATGTAATTTTAGCCAATTTTTCAGCATCATTACTCCAGTCTTCAGTGGCACATGATCCTTTAGAAATCATTCTAGTATGCTGATTTTCTGCTCAAGAAACATTTCTGTTATTATCAATGTTGAAAACTATGCTTCAGGTTTATTTGATGAAAAGAACAGCAATTATTTAAAACGGACTTTTTTAACATTAAAAAGGCTTTACTGTCACTTTTGATCAATTTAATGCATCCTTGCTGAATAAAAGTCATTTATTTAAAAACCTTTAAGAATTATTTAAAAAAAAAAAAGTTTTCAATGTTAGGCTTACCGTCCCTTTCGACTGAATTCCAACAATAATTGATTCTTTCAGCAAAAAGCATTATTAAATTTCTGTGACTCAAGATTTTTGGGTACACTGTTATTAATGCACGCGATACAGAGGGTATGTTTATTTTAAAAAGTATGCTATCCGTTTTCAATGTTAGGCTTACCGTCCCTTTCGACTGAATTCCAACAATAATTGATTCTTTCAGCAAAAAGCATTATTAAATTTCTGTGACTCCAAGGTTTTTGGGTACACTGTTATTAATGCACGCGATACAGAGGGTATGTTTATTTTAAAAAGTATGCTATCCGAAGCCAATGTTTTCATGCCAAGCAACAGATGATATCTTTGCCTCAGGAAACGTCCTCCCCTCTGTGATGGTGAGATGGTGGATCTGTGCTCATATTTACTCTGGAAAGTGATACTGATTTGAACCTTGTTTTCCATGCAATAAATACCGACTGTGTTTTTCAGGATGTTGAGTGTAAGTCTCACAATGGGACGTCACAAGCACCTTGTTGCAATTTACACGGCAAAGCATGTTAAACATTCAGCCTCTTTTCAGAAATTACATTTCAAGCAGTGCACCTGCCAAAACCGAAGAAATGAATGGCCTGAAGCAGTGTAGATCCATCATATAATAAGTCTGTTTTTCCTCTCCAAAACAAAGCAAAAGTATTGTTTAGTGTGTTTCCCCCTTCAGGGGGGTATGAATTCATAACTGCCATGTAAATCTGGTTCTGATAAACAGCTGTATTTTGCAGGCATGGATACAGTATAAAGCAGAGAAACTTTAAACCGTTTCCCTGTTTTGGGACTGTGTGGCATTAACGCGTGGTTTGATGTGGCCCATGATGTCCTCCAGAGAACGTATGTGTTTTCCGTTTGTGATCTAAGCGGGCACATCTGAAAGGTGACCTGTTTTCCTTTTTCCGAGCTTGTGGGTTTTTTTCGCGTTCAACTCATGAATGTTGACCTGCTGCTGTGCTGGAATTGAGTTGCTTTCCATCACTGTGGAATGTGTCTTAGACCAGCTGTTGGGAGGACATATTATCTCCATCTTTTTTCCTTACTCCCTTCCTCTTCCTCTTTTCCCCTGTCTCTCTGGCTTCCCCTCCCTCACTTTTTCCTTCATTACTTTTCATTCCGCCTCTCTGAAGTGGTTGGGACGCAGGCAAAGTGGCATATGAATCTTTTCTCCGTTAGCATAAAATGCAGAGGGACCAGATGTAGCAGGGACACCATCTCCCCCCCCCCCTTTGCCCTGCCAGCGTGTGAAGTGGTTGTGATCCCAGCAGCGTTGTATTAATTCGGGGCAGCGAGGGCTGCTGACTCGGATGCCAGCTCATTCCTGCGGTTCCGTTTCAACTTTTGCATATGATCTTCTGCAAAGCTATTGAAAAAACCCATCTGCTCTTTAAGTGAGGCTTTAGCGTTCAGGATGTGAGAGCCGGCGGCAGTTAACACTTTACATCAAAACTCTGAAAGGCCTGGAGTTCTGAACGATCACCCGCTTTGAAGCTTTGGCGTTTGCCAGCTGTTGCGTAGATGATTCCTGGATGACCTCTGGCCCCGTTGGTGGTGCGATGTTTCTTGTGTTACAACACGGCCAACCTCTGGTCTGCTCTCCTTGCCCACAGTTTCCTCAACAGACTTGACCTACTGTGCTCATATGTGAAGGGTCATGTTCAACCGATCAAGGTTTTGATACAGATTAGTTATTTTGCCCACTTTCCATAGTAATGCCCAATATAAAGAAAGTAAAGCTAGATTGCTATTATTTAAACAGTCTATCAGCCTACACTGTAAACAGCCATTGCATTTAGTTTTGTGTGAGTCAATGACATGACTTATATTTAATGTTTTAAAAGAAATCAATACAAATATTCAGCAAGGACACATTAATTGATCAAAAGTGACAGTTAAGACTTTTAATAATGTTACAAAATATATATATATATATATACTTTCTATCTATTCATCAAGAAAAAAATGGATTCATAAAAAGGAAAAAAATGGGTAACGCTTATACAGTGTATTTGTTACAGATCCTACATGCATTTACTATAGTAATAACAGTATTATGCAGTATATATAATATGGAACATTATTTAATAGCATTTACACACTGTTAATTAATATTACTCTGTATTTGTGTAATTATAATGTATACCCCCACTACTTAAGAAACCCACCCTTAACCCATCTCTTTTAGAGAACTACAGACTGGTTTCCCTTCCTTTCATTGTAAAAACACTTGAACGAGCTGTGTTCAACCAAGTCTCTGCCTTTCTCACACAGAACAACCTCCTCGACAGCAACCAGTCTGGTTTCAGAAGTGGACATTCAACCGAGACTGCCTTGCTCTCAGTTGTTGAAGCCCTAAGACTGGCAAGAGCGGATTCCAAATCTTCAATACTTATCTTGCTGGATCTGTCCACTGCTTTTGACATGGTTAACCACCAGATCCTCCTGTCAACCCTATTGGCAAAGGGCATCTCAGGAACCACACTCCAGTGGTTTAAGTCTTATCTCTCAGATAGGTCCTTCAAGATATCTTGGAGAGGTGAGGTGTCCAAGTCACAACATCTAACTACTGGGGTGCCTCAGGGCTCAGTTCTTGGTCCACTTCTCTTCTCTGTCTACATGGCATCACTAGGTTCTGTCATTCAGAAACATGGCTTTTCATATCACTGCTATGCTGATGACACTCAACTCTACCTCTCATTGCATCCTGATCCGAAGATAGCTACTCGCATCTCAGCTTGTCTAACAGACATTTCTTGCTGGATGAAGGTCCATCACCTTCAACTCAACCTTGCCAAGACAGAACTGCTTGTGGTTCCATCAAACCCATTGTTTCATCACAATTTCACCATCCAGTTGGGCACATCAACCATAACTCCTTCAAAAACAGCCAGAAACCTTGGAGTTATGATTGATTTATCAGCTGACTTTCTCAGACCACATTGCTAAAACTGCCCGGTCCTGCAGATTTGCTTTATTCAACATCAAGAAGATCAGGCCCTTTCTTTCGGAACATGCTTCACAACTCCTTGTTCAAGCTCTTGTTCTGTCCAGTCTGGACTATTGCAATGCTCTCTTGGCAGGTCTTCCAACCACTTCTATCAAACCTTTACAATTAATCCAGAACGCGGCAGCAAGATACATTTTTAATGAGCCAAAAATAATGCACGTCACACCTCTATTTATCAGTTTGCACTGGCTACCAATAGCTGCTTGCATACAATTCAAGGCATTCATGTTTGCCTACAAAACCACCACTGGCTCTGCACCCCTTTACCTAAATTCATTACTTCAGACTTATGTGCCCTCTAGAAGCTTGCGTTCTGCAAGTGAATCACGCTTTATTGTGCCATCCCAAAGAGGCACAAAATCACTTTCTGACTTTTAAATTAAATATTCCCTCCTGGTGGAATGACCTGCCCAACTCAGTCCGAGCAGCTAAGTCCTTAGCCATCTTCAAGAATCCACTAAAATCACATCTCTTCCATTTTTATTTGACCCTCTAACTCTAGCATTCTCTATTGTAATTCTATTCTTTAATAAAAAAAACTTGCACTTTATTTATTTACTAACTGCTTGTTTTCTTAAAAAAAAACACTTGCTTCTCTAATCTTTTTGCATTCTATCTATTTGTTTTCTTTTTATTTGTTATGCAGCACAACAGTTTTCAACATTGCACAACTGTTTCTTGAACAGCAAATCAGCATGTTAGAATTATTTCTGAAGGATCATGTGACACTGCAGACTAATGATGCTGAAAATTCAGCTTTGCATCACAGGAATAAATTGTATTTTAATTAAAATATATTCAAATAGAGAAGTTATTTAAAATTAAATTTTTTTTTTTTTTTTTTTTTTTTTTTTTACTGTTTGTTTTCATTGACACTTGTTTTCACACTTGTCACTCTTATCTGTGACTTGCTTCCAGTGTAGATTGGGTGTCAGGCACCATATACAACACTCACTTTACAACAAATTTGTTTTTTAGTGCTATGGGCCAGAATATCCTTGGACAATTGCATCACAATGTGCTACAAGCCAAAATACTTTAGCAACCACATTGCAATTCCTTGTCCCCACCCATAACACTCTAGCATTGTGGCGATGAGTTTTGAACGTCCAACCACCACTCACTTTGGGAAAAATTTAGTTTTTAAAGTTTTGGAAAACCTTTTGAAGTGTTTGTCTCTTGTCATGTGTCGCTACGGGTTGTAAAATAGTACAGAGTGTTCGACTCACTCTAGGATGTTGGCACAGGTGAAAGTGCTGTGCAACGTGGGCTCCTATGGATGTTTCTATTTTTGTTTTGGACCCAGAGCTACTAGGCCTTGGAGTCTCTGCTCCTTATTTAAGTTCTTCTCAGCTGGATCTCATTTGTGTTGGGGTGTGAGGACGCGGTGTGTTTGTGTCAGTGTTTTTCTAGAGGGGGAAGGGTCGAGATTTTTCCCTCCTCTCCACCAACTACAGATGTTTTTTTTTTTTTTTATGAGGAGCCCTTTCTCGCGGGCCGCCGCACATTTCTGTTTGTTTAGAAGCCGACAAGCCGTGACAGTAAAGTGGGCTTCTGCACGCTCAATAAATAACCATCTGCAGCAGAAATTAATTATGTCTTTGAAAGTCCACGAGGCGGGTGTAGATACATCAATGTGCTGTTTTTTGTTAGAAAGATTTCTAAAATCAACATGCTACATTATGCACGTGGGATTGTTCTTGCTGTTACTTTACCATCAAGCATTGGCTGTGTTTGGTCTGATTTTGTTGTTCTGTTATCTCTCCACAGCACCCTGCCAACCCTGTACAGATGCGGAGGTCCTCCTGGCCGCTTGCACCAGTGACTTTGGTAAGACAAGTCACATCTTTAAAGAAATGTTAAAGGGGTCATATGATGCGATTTTTCAAGTTTTCCTTTCTCTTTGGAGTGTTACAAGCTGATTGTGCATAGATAAGATCCCTGACGTTGCTAAGACTAAAGTTTCAAAACCAAATAGATATTCTTTATCAAAGTTAAGACTCTGCCACGCCCCCCTAAAACGGCTCATTCTAACACACCCCCACATATCTAGGTCACTATGTGGGAATATTTGCATAATGTGCCCAAATGTGCACGCAAAGAAAGAAGGTGTGGTTTCAGTAACCGCAGTTAGTGTTGAAGCAGCATGTCAGGGAAACGCTGTGTGTTTCTAGGCGAAAGCAAAAGCACCTTATTTGGCCTTCCGGAAGTAGATGCAATTAGGAATCTTTAAGATCACTTACAACAGAACAGCATTGCATTTTATGGACGACTGTTTCGTGAACCTAGGAGAGGAGGTAAACACGTGTGTGTGTGTGTGTGAGAGAGACAGCGACAGCGTCACATCACAGTAGAGTCAGCTGTCTTAACCGCGGCTTGTGTACTGCATCATTACTGTGTCTGTTCCCCTTTCGGGCTATAACTGATGGTAAAACTAATGACATTATTTACTGTCTTTACATTTATTTTGAAGCTCGTGATTATGGTAAGGGGAGTTACATTTCTGAGGAGTGCTTGCGGTGTTTCGGCCAATCACAATGCACTGGGTCAGCTGGCCAATCAGAGCAGACTGTGCTTGTCGGAAGGAAGAACTTTGTAGAAAACGAAGCGTTTGAGAGAGTCGAGGCATATAGGACCTACAATAATGTACAGTATTTGAAAAAGAATGTATTTTTTGAACATTAAAGCATGTCAATATTCTGTTACACCAAATACACAAAATAATGATCTTTTAAAAAGCATGATATGACCCCTTTAAATGTTTTTGATAATGACTGTAGTCAGAAATCAAATTAAATTAGCAATTGAATTTCAATTATAGTTGATTCAATTATGGTCTGAAAGCATCCCTCCCACCAAGCAACTGTTTGAGTTACAGGAACTCTCAAATAAGACTCTTCAAAGATAATGAGAATAAGATCCTACTGATTAAAGTGAAAATTGCTGCACGATTTGGATCTTAAGAATGTTATATACTGATAAATGGACCACAGTCACAGTTAATAGGCTAATATTTGGCCTTTATGTCAGCTCCATAGTTTACTGACAGCCTTTTTAATAGATTGAGGAAATATTGTGTAAAATAAACATTAATTTAACCCTTGTGTGCATATTTTTGTTACTCAGCCAGTGTTTTTTGTTACTCAGCCAGCAGTTTTGGGTTTTTAATTCAACACAATCAAAAATTAAATGTTAAAATACTCAACAGATGTTTACTTCATCCCAATTACAAGCAATATAAACCGTATATAAGGTCAAAATTTGCCCTTTACCTTTGTTAAAGCGCATTTAGGAGTTAAAGTGCTACAGCCTTGTTGGCAGGGGCAGAAACACAAAACTCACACTCTCTCACTCACTCACTCACTCACTCACTCACTCACTCACAGGCACACATACTAATAGCAGGCCCAGACATAGGAGGACAGAGTGAAGGTACACAGGACCTAAAATTTTCACACTTTTATTATCCCCGGGTCCAGTGAACCCGAACATCCTGTATATAATATAGATGTGTAGGGGGGGGATTGTACAGTGAGTGGTCATTGAAAATGGGCCAATGAGTCTGAGTTTGAAAAAATAATTAATAGTATAATTTTTCTTTTGATAAAAAAAGTGATAACGGGTCCCACAGAGCCGAACACCATACAAGATTTAATGTCAAATATGTTGGCTTAAGAAATAATACTGATCTACTATTTAATCCTGTATTATTATCATTTAGTATTTTGAGAATAAACATTCACACGTCTCACATTTTTGTGTTTAAAAATGTGAGACATAAGGCAGTGGAATAATAATTTAAAGAAAGAAGCCAATCTAGAGATGTGTTGGAGTTAAAAAGATCGGACTTAGGATTTTTTTTTTTTTAAATGGATAAACAAAACTACAAAAAAATTCCATCGAATTAAATTGACGAAATGTTTAAATGAGCCAAGGCTCTTCAAAATCCATCTTCAAAATCTTAAATCAATTGGTCTATCTTAAATCGAACTATTTTAGAATAGACTAGGCTTTCTCAAGCCAACATCAAAGTTAATTTACAAACTTTTTAAATAAAATGTGATAATTGCTAATAAGAAATTATTCATATAAATATATTGTCAGCATCATATTAGCACTCCAGTATCAGTATGTCACTGAAAAACAGTTCTTTCAGAAATTATGTAATATTTATCTAAACCCTAGATGCATTGTTTTTGACAAAAGTTTTAAAATGCTGAAAAATTCTTAAGATTCCTAGGGGCATGGTCCTATTGGTAACATGTTTTTAAAGATCTAGTTTGTGTTTTATGTTGGAATCAGAAATGAATCATCATAAGAAATGCTCACACTCTAGTTTGGGGATCAATTGTCACAATTGACTATCAGCTACAACTTTTGCCTTAAACTCATAATTTGCTGCTTATTAATAGTAAGGTAGTTGTTAAGTTTAGGTAAGGTGTAGGAGTAAGAGACCTAAAATAGAACAAGGCATTAATATTTGCTTTATTAGTACTAATATACAGCCAATTTGCAAGTAATATGCATGCTAATAAGCAACAAGTTAATAGTGAGAACTGGTCCTTTATTTTAAAGTGTTTTTTAAGAAATTAAGACACAATTCCCATTAAAATCTTTTAAGATTGGTGGCCCAATTTGCTATGCGTTGAAATGGGAATCCCATATACATTCTTTGAGGATTGTTTGACCAGGCACATCCCATAATGCAGTCAATATGGAAAAAAACTACTTTTCTTACATGGTTTTATTTATTCTTTCCCTCTTCAGTGGCACGGGGCAGTATTCTTGGTGTGGCAGAGGACGACGACCAGACCTCTGTCACTGTGTCCCTGAGTCGCCTTTACAGACAGAAGACACAAGTGTTTGTTTCGGGGGGTGGCCGGGCCAAACGCTGGACAGGCTTTGTGAAGATGCCCAGGCAGTGCAGGGTTAAACCGGGGGAGGGTGAGTTCCTCTTCACTGGGACTGTGCGATTTGGAGAGGCCTGGCTCAGTTGCGCTCCACGGTACAAGGACTTCCTTAGGGTGTATCAGGACGCACAGCAGCAACGGACCAACCCATGTCATTTGGACACAGACTGAATTCTTTCCAGGAAACCACACGGTCCGCCCCGTCGCGAGGATTTGTGACCCTGCGAGCAGCTGTCTGTCTCCGTTTGTGTCTGCAGACAGAGCCAGTTTAGATCCGTATAGACTGCAATACCGATGCAGAAACCTGCTGTCCCAGCATTGCCTGAGACACGACTCGTGCCCTTAAAACATCCCGCAAAGACAACTGAAGTTGGACTTGAACTTACTAAGCCAATGGCGATTTCTCCTGACATGTCTTAAGACTGATATTCCTGATTTTTCTTTTCTTGCAGTCAAAATGTAGCAGATCTGGCTGATGAATGTGTAAAAATGTGAAAAGAACATTCTAAAACGGAAGTCCCAAATGCTTTGTAAAAAGCTTGATGTACAGTTTTGCAGTTTTCTATAACAGAAATATATTGGTGAAAAAGCCTTTTTAATTTTAATTTTTTAAGAAAATTTGAAGTGCAATTCCTGCCTGTGTTTTGTCTTCAGGCTGTTCAATTGCAAATGTGTCTTTCCAAGGATTAAAAGTTTTTTTTCTCTCTCTCTTTGGAATCAAATCGTGTGCCTGGTTTTTTCATGTAAATTAGGTGACGGTGTAGTTCTCTGCCATCCATTTTGAAATACTTAATCTATGAACTGTGTCCAAAAATGGAGTACATTTTTTATGTACTACTTCTATATAGTCACTGTTTACTGGGGTTTTAACATGCGAGAGCTCATCCCCAAGTCTGAATGATATTCTGGTCTCTAGATATTGCTTGAATCATTACTACAATGTAACCGTGTGAGATGTTTTTCTCACTAATTTTATCATCCATCAGGTGAAAATTAAAAGTCAGATTACTTAAAGTAATATCATACCTCTCCTCGACAAGTACAAACCACACAAATTATAGTATCAGTCATGTCCATAACACAAAAATTTACATTTTGTCATCATTTACTGGTCCTCATGTTGTTTCAAACTTGTATAACTTGTTTTATTTTCAATGAAACACAAAAGTGAAACTGGCATTTTCTCAAAATATCTTTTTTTGTGTTCCACTTCCACAGAAAAAAAAAGTCAAGGTCATAGTAGAAAACAGGAACAACATCCCTTTCAAGCGTTACAGATAGGAAACTTGGTTAATAACCGCTTAGTAATGTTTAGTTATATTATGCTCCAATAATTTTCTATGAAACTAAATTGTTTTCCACTGTACAGAATACAAAAACATTTTTGTAATCTCTGGTTTAAGTTATATATATATATATATATAATTTTATTTTATTTGCAGAATCTACAAAAATGTTAATAATTAGAAAAATAAGAGGAATCATAAAAATTGCATTTTGTTTTTCATTTAGTACTGTCCTAAATAAGCTTGTTTACATGTTTAGATGTAGTCCAATGCAAAATAATAGCTGACTTTATACAAATTACCCCATTCAAAAATGTATATATGGTTAATATGTAATACTGCTGTTTTGTGATAGTTGTTCATGAGTCTCTTGTTTGCCCTGAGCAGTTAAATTGCCCACTGTTCCTACAGGTCCTGCACATTCTTTGGTTTTCCAGCATCTTCTGCATATTTACCATTGATTATGATTTTGAGATCCATCTTTTCATACTGAGGACAATTGAGGGACTCTTATGCAACTATTACAAAAGCTGCAAATGTTCACGAATGCGCAAGGCAAACACATTGCATTAAGAGTGGGGGTGAAAACAGGATGATTTGGGAAACTGTACTTAAAGTTTTTTTTAGTTTTTTTTTTAGTACTGGCCTTCAGAAGCTACATAAGCTATTTGCAAGTTTCCCAGAAGACAAAATAAGTACAATTATGGACTCATTTCATTCTCATAGTTGGGTAAACATTCATAGTGGTGAACAGAAACTACAACAACTACTACATTTTTGTGTCCCTGTTTACCCCAACAGAAAAACAAAATCCTCAAGTGTTTCCTTGCCTTTCCAAAACTTACATCAAAGTGTTATTAATCTACAAAACATTTTACAAAAAATTGCAAATATGAAAAAAAAACGTTGATGTTAATTATGGAAATGCATCATCACAGTTGGTGAAAATGGTCCATTAAGGGTAGTCATAAATATTTAGTAAAAAAATATATATATTTTTTAATTATTAGCATTTTGCAGATTCCACGAGATGGATGTGAACAACTGTAAATGAATATTTTTAAACATTTCACAAGTAGGCTACTTCCTTCTCTAACAAAATACCTCTGTCATCTTAGTGGCCTCATGTTTGTGATTAACCAACCAACCTCCCCTTCTCCCATTATTTTTAAATCAAGAGCATAACACGCTTTATCCATTGAGCATTATGTGCGGATTCACATCCGTCTGGACTCCCTCCGAGAAATATCAGGCTTTCACGCTGGTGTTGGTGGTTGGTCTATTGGTCCAGCTCCATATGAAATGCATTACTTCTGGTTTTCCAGCCATACAGGAGAGTTATCATTCACTGGAAGCAGACTGGAGCGGATTCCTCTCCACGGGTTGCTGCGGTGCCCAGGGAGGCGCTCAGTCAAGGTCAGAGTGAAAGGGCTCTTTGTGTGAGCCGGGCCGTTCTGAGAGAGCGAGACAGCTTCAATAGAGCCCTGTGATGCCACACAAAATGGAGGAGCAGGCCATGTGGACTATGAATCTGAGCATTCCTGATGCTTGTGACTCATTTTCAGGCCATCTATTTCAACATACAACACCAAACAGAATGAGAGAATATCGTTTCCAAAAAAGTTGTAGCAGAGTCTTTTGGTTGTCGTTGGGAGTTTTGCTTTGCTCCATCTTGTTCTGCTTTACTTTTGACAGAAACACACCCATAATGTCTCTCAGTGAGTGGCCACAAATAGACAATTGCTTTTGCAGGCTGATCTGCACTCAATGGAGAGACTGAATTCCAGTCCAACGGCAGCAGCTCTGGAATTGCTCACTGGGAAATGCAAACAGTGTTCCCATGACAACGCTGCGGTGCAGCAAACCCTCGCTCCGAGCTCCTACGGGGTGAAAGGGAAAAGAAAGGAAAAGAAGCGTGGTTGTCCACTTGCACCGGCGCTTTGAGTGCCTCGCTGGCGACGTTCTGTCCAAGTGCATCCCGACCGCATTGTGAAGTATGTTTGGGGTTTATGGATAAGATATTCCCTCTGGAACTAGACGCTGACCCTGATGCCACATTGCTACTGTTTAGTTGTTGATGTAGACTTATATATAAACTGAGGAAATGGACCTATGCCCCAGTCACAATGATAAAGTTGCTGTGTCTTGCAGAATGACCTTCCCCAAAAAAACTAACTTTAATTTTTAAAACTTTAGTTTTCATCAATTACAGGCAGGCACTCAGTCAAGAACCTTTGGAGTAACCGACTTGATTAATTGTGGATTACTTTTATGATGTCTTTTTTGTCTTTGATGAAATTTTTGAAGTGTGAACAATGGCATTTTGCCAGAGAAGGGAGTATTTATGAAATTTTTGGCATAAACCGACCAAGCAGAAACCTTTGCCAACTGGTTGAACTGTACAACCGATGTTTTCCAGATTTTTGGTTCACTCGATAGGTGTTATTAATACATATTTGCAGTGTTTTATGGCAAATTAAATACGGTGAAACGTGGCTAAACATTTCTTTTATCAAATCTATAAGACTGTTCATCTTCAAAACACACACACACACACAAATGTATTTTAAGTGAAACTTTTCAGAGATTTCTGTCCCTCCATTTAAAGTTCATTACACCACAAGTGCAAGGCTAGTCTATTAATCAAAACTGCTGCTGCTAGTCGACATTGGAAAGGGGGAAATTAACTTCAGAAAGCTTTTGTTGACAATTTTTCATGTTATCTCCTTATAAGGCCTAATAAAATAAGGTGCATATGTGCAGTGCTGCTTAGTTTACAGAGGTAACCATGGTTAATGCTGTAAAAAAGTGCCACCTTCTTGTCCAAAAGCGCCACCTACTGTCAGAGAATGAATTAGCATTTTGTCTGCTGCTCTTGTTGCCGTCAGTATTGTTAATTTTAACTGAAAATAAGAACAATTCAGATAATAAGGATTTGGTTTGATTCAGAGTTTAAAGGGATATTTCAGCCAAAAAATTTTATTCTGTCATATCACTCACCCTCATGACCCGTAAGACCTTCGTTCATTTTTGGAACACAAATTAATATAATTTTGATGAAATCAGAGCTTACGGTCCAGTCAGAGCTTTCTGACCCTGCATAGACAGCACCGTAAATACCACGTTCAAGGCACAGAAACGTGGTAAGGACATTGTTAAAATAATTAATGTGACATCAGTAGTTTAACCGTAATGTCATGAAGCTACAAGAATACTTTTTGTGTGCAAAGAAAACAGAAATAACGATTTTATTCAACAATTTCTTCTTTTTCGTGTCAGTCGATGCACATTCACGAGAGAGACACGCATGCGTCGTGGTACTCTCTGAATGGCGGCGGAGAAATTGTTGAATTAAGTTGTTATTTTTGTTTTCTTTGCTCACAAAAAGTATTGTCGTAGCATCATAAAATTATACGGTTGAATCACTGATGACACATGGACTGTTTTAATGATGTCCTTACTACATTTCTGGGCCTTTAACGTGGTCGTTATGTTGCTGTCTATGCAGGGTCAGAAAGCTTTCGAATTTCATCAAAAATTTCTTAAAGGGGACCTATTATGCAACATTCACTTTTATAAGGTGTTTGAACACAGATGTGTATTCACAGTGTATAAACAATCAGCCTATAATGGTAAAAATCCACTCACTCCTTTTTTGTATAATACCCATAAATCATAAACAGTCTCGTCGAACAAGCAGTTCCAGATTTCCCCCCTAAACTTACTTAAGAGTATGGAAGCCCCGGCCACAGCTGGTGACAATCTGCCTTATTAGCAGCATAGATAATATGCAGATACAGTGGGGAAAAAAAGTATTTAGTCAGCCACCAATTGTGCAAGTTCTCCCACTTAAAAAGATGAGAGAGGCCTGTAATTTTCATCATAGGTATACCTCAACTATGAGAGACAAAATGAGAAAAAAAAATCCAGAAAATCACATTGTAGGATTTTTAAAGAATTTATTTGCAAATTATGGTGGAAAATAAGTATT